GGCATCGGAGGGGCATGGATATCCTGACAGATTTCACTAAAATTATAAAATTATATAATGTTGGTGGGGGCAGGGTGGCCCAAGGTGACATTTCATAAGGGGGCCAGAATGTCTAGCTACTCCCCTGGGGGCGGTCTTAAGGTTTCATCCTGTCTTTGTATAAATAGTAACTGAGTTTAAAGCATCACTACGATTTATAAAACACTGGGATAAACTTCAGTTGACTGAAAATTATATCCATCCGTCTATTCATCTTACAGCCGCTTATCAAACACAGGGTCACAAGTTACAAGTTGTATATGAGTTGTATATGAACTCATTAATTAAATTCTGCTTACAAATAAATGCAGTATTGCCAGTCTGCAAGAAGAGTGATTACTTACACATAAGCAGAAAAGATGAAAATAGATTAGAGACAAAGAATAAAGCACCAATTTAAAACTTATCCTTGATAATATTTTCGGAAAGTTTGGCAGTGTTGTCCTGTACATCTTCATACAGTGCTCACAGAAAGCTTTGGGACGGCTTAAATTGCAGTTTTTTTGGGTTCCATTAAATGTTTAACGTACCTGCACATATCTTCTACACAGACATATCCTTTTTATTAAGTATCATACATTTTTTGACCTGATACTTTCTGTTCTTGCAGTTTCACTATTAATTTCAATTGTAGTCAGTGGCTCCCAAAGGAATACTAAACACAAATGTTTGGTGTTTTATGTTAGTGCAAAGGTATTACAAATTAAAACACACATAATAAGAACTCAGAACAGCGCTTTTTGAACTCCCTTTTGGGTTTTAAGATATTACTACTTGAAATCAGGGTGTTACTTAAATACTGGTTAATTCTAATGTGCTATATATTTTTTGGAAACGAATAAAGTAATAATTTTTGTTATTGCAAATTTATTAGTTTTATATTTTTACTGAATAAGGCAAATGTCCCAAGACTGTCTGTTAGCACTATATATAAGTACAACATTCATACATTAATATGGCTCCTATTTTCTTCTAAAGTCTAATTCATCCCACACATATGCAGAGCACACACATACCATCAAAGTTACTTTGACCTTCATATGACAGGTTCTGTTTTATGAACGTAGTTAACAAGCAATTTCACACCCCATTTACGACCTCTGCTACTCGTGTGGTGGACAATGCACTGAGAAGTCTTCCTACAAAAACTGCTAAAATTGACAGATCAAACTGTCCACACATAATAAACTCCACAATCTCAGTAAAATGTGCATATATCCATAACTCCGTTTCACTTTGAACTATCAATACTTAAATATGCTAGAAGTGCTGTTACAGTATGTGTGTAGAGTGTCTGGTTTGTTTATTTAAATGTTATAGAAAAAATATATTTTTCATATAAATTACCAGTCAACTTTAAAAACTGACATAATAGCAACTGTAATTAATAAACATACATTACTGATAAACACTTCAGAGCACCGTCTACCATATGCTGTAAATAATTGTGGCTATTGCCATAGAAGGAAAATCAATAGTCCAAGGCTGTTACTCATGCTTATACAGCATTACCCTAAAGCGAGATCTATATATTACATGGCGACACTATAATTCCCTTTGTGTCTTATTGACTTTTCAGTACCAACCATTGTTCCATAAATACACATACTGTACAGTACCGACAGAATTCAAATGAAGGGATCAATAAAGTGGAATATGCCACCGCAATGCTAAAATAATCATTGCATCTAATAGAATGTCACCTTCAATGAAATGAACAATTATGCAAAAAAAAAAAAATATCAATTAAATTGATTTTGAATGGGGAAAGGCACCTACAAAACAGAGAAGCTTAAAGAAATTAATAATTCTTCATTCATCATAAAAACAAATTGCTGAGATCCAAATCAAAGGCATATCTTGAGTATTACCATTATTTGAAACATATCTAACCAGTGCAGGAAAGACAATGCGTGCATGCTTGACTTTCATCTTAGTGACAATTTGTCATTATTATAATTTAAATCCTTTACATTCACTTTGATTTTTTTCAGTCTTAATTGTAATAATCAGACAAAAAAAATGGTATAGGGCATCTGTAATCTATCAGTTATGCTTCAACCTGTTTCCTGTTGGTCACCATATTGGTTCTGCCTGCATTAAAGCAGGTAATGACAGACATCTTATCCACAGTGGGCTTCAAAAGCCCTCGTTGCTGTTTTTAGCACTAACTCTGAAAATTGGCCTTGCCTTTGACCATGTTTTCTTTAATGTTCTTTCTTATCTACATATCCCTTATTTCGCTGAAGGCCATTGATGGTTTAAAGGTCCTGTGATTGCTTTGTTGTCTAAAATAACTCTTGAACTATTTCTCTAACTGTCTTGTTGTGATTCTGTCCCATAGATCCTAATTTCCATCTAGCCCTGAAATACAGCTACTCATACACTTGGCTCACATGACCTGTAGCATAACCTGGAATACTGCACTTCAGTGTCTGGTGTCTAGCAGTGGCAGACAGGGCCTGAGCGCCACTCAGCCGACAGCCACCTAAAATTTCACGATGTGGAGAACACTTTTAGATTTCCATGGAACATTCTCTCTGTATAACCTAAGCCAATTATACATTCATTGAAGAATATTTCCAACGAAACAAAACTCCAGAAATTACTCATTAAATTGTTGGGCATCATTAAAATTGTTCTTAAAGTAGCAATGCAGTCATGGCTGAATTTATGTAATTTTTACATATATTGATATATTGATTGGAAGAGGGTTCTATTTACAAAACAAATTTCAGCTTGCCCTTGACTAATTTATCTAGAATAAACCACAGCCGTTGAACAACTTCAGGCATATTCTCTAACATAAAAGTCATGCAGATGCACAACAATGTGCTTCAGTAATGAGACTAGCTGGTCCCCTTCATTCACACAGTTTTTCGGCGCCACATTATATGTTTATTATCAGTGTCATTGTGACTCCATGATTCCTGTGGAAAAAAATGCATTATGCAAGTTCCAATTTCTATGTAATTACAGAAGTTTGATTTATGTTCCTCACAATTTTCACAGTAGAATTCTTAATGTAGCATTAAATTGTCATTAATAATGCTCCTGCATTAGTACAGTAGCTAAACAAACCAGTAGAAATCAAGCTGCCTTTCCTTTTGGGGCTTCACTTGTTTTATCCTTGTAAAAATGTCACTCTTCAAATGTAAAATAATCCTCAACCAGGCTTTTTTTATCAATAGTCTCGGAAGATATTGCTTGGAAAACAAGAAGCACCAGCCAAGGTCAGAAATACAATATATAAAGATTCTACTGATCTTTGGAAAATCCAAAAATATTCCTAGCCATATCAGTCATTAGCTCAGTCATTCTGTTGCAGAGGAAAACATATGGATGTTGTATCTAATGTTTAAACAAAGCAACTTATGAATTATATTTTTAAGAGATGATATTCTTAATCAATGATCAATTGTTTTTACCCAGTGAGTTTAATAAATCCATAGTCAGATGCACACTAAAGATGGGAGGTGGCATTTCTGAATGTGTCACCAACATCCCAGGAAGATTATTTTCCTCTTTAAGAACATATAAGGCTGCCACCAGGGGGCCGTTCTCAAACAAATTTTGGCCTTTTGGAATCTTCTCTGACTTGAACTCATTCCGGCTTAGCAAAGCATTCTATCCTGCTGAAAATATATCATTCTTACAACATTGCCCCTGGACTCATAAGGCGGCTGAAATGCATTGAGAAATCCATGTATTTGTAGGTCTTCCATAAATAGAATTTTCATTTCAGATTTTGGGGAAAAGGAGGCGAAGAATCTGTCCTGTATTTTCTTGTTCATCTCATATTTATACATAATCAGCAGCTAAGCTGTGCTTAGATGACACTGATGTGCTTCAGATCGCCAGGTGTGCAGACAATAACTGATACTGTATCCAATGTATGTGACATAGAAATTAATCATCTGCATAACTTTATTTGTATTGGTTGACTTTTTGTCTAAATTCTATTTTTATATGACAAGTAATATTTTTATATGACAAAAAATCAAAAGCTTACTTAATCCATCCATCTATCCATTTTCTGTAGCAGCTTGTCCAGTTCACGGTCGGGGGGGTACAGGCACAAGGCACAGAATAACTCAGGATGGGCCCGGAGCCTATCCCGGAGGCTACAGCTGCAAGGAAAAGCCTGCTTTAATATTTTATGGAAAAAGTAAAATAGAATGGCGATTGCGCATTAGGTGTGGGGTTTGGCAAAACTGCTGCACCACACGCCATACAGTATATGTATGATATGTGTAAAATGTGTCTGGTAATACATTATTCTCTCTTCCATATAGTGTTAAAGGGGAATTAATGTATTTAGAATTCTATCAAGTTAGGATTCAAGACATTGAGATGATTTTTCCAGAGAGCAATTTTTCAGAAAGAGTCCGAACAATACTCACCCTATCTATGAAATATAAGTCTTATGGGTATTAGTACTACTTCTATATTCTTACTTGATTTTTTTTTCTTCTGCAGACTGAAATTTTTCCTGATTTGAAATTTCTTTAGTAGATTTTTGTACTTTGCATGGAAGGTTAAATGCATTATTCCTCACTGTTCCTCATGGATCACTGTTAATACTTTTCTGCGAATGCCAACATAAGTACCAACTGTTTTTACTATCGAACATATCTGAAAACAAAGCCACAGAGAATTCACGATCTAGAGAGAAGACTTGCTCAGATAAATATTTCACCAACCTACATCACCCTTGTTAAGCTATGTGGTGCCCGAATGGCAGCCCTTTGACACATTCAGTATTTGCAAATCGACTGACAGAACGGCTTGCTCTGCAAGAAAAAAAAAAAAGAATGGGAATAAAAAGCTTTCCATTCAAAAGAGCAAAGAGGGTTTATAAAAATTGACAAGAGTATTCAAGAAATACATATAATGCTTAAACCTCATTTTACTGTATGATCAACCTTTTGTAAGCTGGCTCTCACTGAACCCTTTTACAGGAATCGATTCCACCACGGCCAAAGGGAACCAGTGTCCGGACCAGAGCAAACCCTGCAACTCCTGCCTGGATGCAGCTAAGGCCTGCAACCTGAATGACACCTGCAAGAAGCAGCGCTCCTACTACATCTCTACCTGTAACAAGGAGATGCCCGGCCAGTCGGTGGCGCCGTCAGCTACACGGGCAGAGCCCTGTAACCGCAAGCGCTGTCACAAAGCCCTGCGCCAGTTCTTTGATCGCGTGCAGACGGAGTACAGCTACCGGATGCTGTTCTGTCCCTGCCAAGACACCGCCTGCGCTGAGAGGAGGCGGCAGACGATCGTGCCCTCCTGTGCCTTCGAAGAGAAGGTCAAGCCCAACTGCTTGGAGCTGAGAAAAACCTGCCGGTCTGACCCTCTGTGCAGGTAACTGAAATTCGGTCATATGCTATAAGGCAAAGACATGTTGCAGATCTATGCCCCCGCTAACCATTTCTGCAGCAGTGACCTGTAAGATAATATAGTGATCATGAAATGTGTTACTTAAATGCATTGTGAAAGCAGAACATTTTCCAGAGTACCCCCATTTAAAGGCATTATTGTCCATTATGCTTACAGTACTATCATACCTACATCCGAAAACAAGGAACTATTCACATATAATTTGTAGGGCAGGTTGTGGGGCATGACGTTTGCCTGACAGAGATTTCATAGACAACAGGATTGCAAGCTAAATGGATGGCATAGCCATAGAAATTCTAACTAAAATGACACGAATAAAATGAAAGCACAACAACCTCTAAGATTCAAAACTGCATATTCATAACAGTAGAAGTTCTGTAGTAATGTAACATAAGTACAGCTAATTGCATGATTGGGATCCTTTTTCTGATTCCTCTTCTTTGTGTCTGTCTGCCTGTCAGCTGACATTAGTCCACTAAATGGGAAGCAGCTGAGATGTATCAATTGGAAGAAAGTTATTCACCACAGCACACAGCAAAATAAATATATATATTTATATATGTTTGTTTAAAGCATGACGCCAAGTGATGAGGTGTTTAGCATTTTCATAGTCTAACTGGATTGTAATAATCATCATCATTATCATTATTGTTGCTGTTGTTGATGATAATAATAATAACAATAATAATAATAGCAATAATAATAATAATGCATCAAACAGCTGGCTTACTCATGGGGATCTGTTCAGTGACACTGAAGGATTCATATTGGCTATTCAAGACCAAGTCATTAACATCAGAAACTACAGAAAATACATACTCAAAGACAGAAGTATTACAGACGGCACCTTTAGATATTGTCATAATTCACAGGAGATGATACAGCACAACACCTCTGGATGCAAACTACTGACACAGACAGACACACAGACAAAATTGGATTGCCAACATCATACACCAAGAACTAGCACTACTTCATAAACTAATACACACACACACACACACACACACACACACCATATTATACTCCGAACCCAGCCCTGGAGATCACATAAACTGTACTATGACAGAACAGATAGAACTGTCCACCGCAACAGACCTGACGTCACACTGATTGATAAAGAGAACAAAACCACATATATTATAGACATCGCCATACCAGATACACACAACCTACAAAAGACCCAAACAGATAAAATATGCGGAAACACAGATCTGGCACATGAAATACATCACCTCTGGATAATGGATAAGGAGCTTATTGTTTCCATTGGTCTTTCCTGCACAGGTGTCATCCCATATGCGCTACAGGAAAACCTACAAAAGTTACATTTCCACCCAAACATATATATAACACTACAAAAAGCGACAATGATAAACACAGGCCACATAGTCAGTGAGTGTCTTTCACATTAGTAAATCTGTCCTGATGTCTAGGCCTTCACCTGACGTAGGAGATAGCCATGGGGATATCCCCGAATTAAATAATAATAATACATTTTCTGTAACCACTTTTCCTATTCACGGTCACAGGGAACACTCATAATTATTAATGATAATAATACAAGGAAAAATAAGAATAATGTGGAATTTAAAGAACAAATATCATTACTTCAATATTAAACAAGTCTCATTTTATGACCACTAAAATCTGAAATAAATATGTTTCTGCGGTACAAAATGGAGAAGCAGATTGAAATACCTATACATCAAGCTGAATTTCATTATGCAGGTCTATAACTGTCAGGAAAATAATTGTAGATGCTAAAAGAAACATTGCAATTAAAAAGAGAGAATGAAGGCTGCCTGGTTAATTGAGTGGACAGTGTTCAATTAGGTTGAACAGCACATTAGTAGATCATTTTTACTGTGTTTCAATTCAATTTTATGGGACACTGTTCAGCTAAAACCTACTCTTCTATGACTGTGTCGTGGGTGCATTTATATAAAAGTTGGAAATGTATTTGTTACAGCATTCCGTCAGTAATAATATATGCCTCAATAAAGCTTCGAATCACCCAAACACTTAAAGCAAAGTGTCATTCGAAGAAAATTAGCTGGGAGCAATGTTATTTTTTATATGTTTGGGAAGGGAAATCTTCTGTGATCTTTAGATGTAAATATACTTCTAAAGTATATCTCTTGTCAAACTTCAGGGTGCTTTGAGTCCTTATAAATTTTGCAACAACATATAGTTAACATTAAGTAAACATATAGAATACTATCACTGCAGCCTTGTACTGGATAAATGATTGGAAGAAGGATGAATGGATGGATAGAATGCTGTTAAATAAGACACGCATGCATGTAAATATTACAACAATTCTTCAAAAGAAGAACATAAACAGAAGGCTGTTTTGCCTGTCCTTTCTATTTGTGTATACACCAATCAGCCATAACATCAAAACCACTGACAGGTGAAGTGAGCAACATTGATTATTTTGTTACAATGGCACCTGTCATGGGTGCCTTATTATATTGAGCAAGTGAACAGTCAGTTCTTGAAGTAGATGTGTAGGAAACAGGAAAAATGGGCAAGTGTAAGGATCTGAGCAACTTGTGATGGCTAGGCGACTAGGTCAGAGCATCTCCAAAATGGCAGGTCATGTGGGGTGTTCTCAGAATGTAGAGGTGAGTATCTACCAAAAGTGGTCAAATGAAAGCCTGCTGGTGAGGGGGTCATGGGCACCCAAGGCTCATTGATGGATATGGGGATCAAAGACTATCGCACAGGAGAGCTACTGTAGCACAAATTGAAAAAGTTAATGCGGGCTATGACAAAAACGTGTCAGAATATAGGAGAAACCTACATTTGGATAACAACAGACTGATTTGTATGTGACTCCAACAATAGGTCTGGACCAGTCAAATTTTGTCCGTACCTAAGAGAACATTCAAAGGACAAGAATACTGGGGAATGTGGCAAGTTCTCCCAAATCACTTGTATGAGCAACTTGTAAACCAACCTGTTCATATGAGTGGTTCTTGAATGAGGACCAATGTTCTGACCTTTAGCTCCAATTAATACTGACAATCAACAAGCAGTTGCATATGTTTGGCGTTTGGAGCATGGATTACAAGAAGCAGAACATGTCCTGTTCTTTTGACAAACCCATTACATACTTTTCACTGTGTACATTGTCTTAATGTTTCTATGTCACTTTCATATATACTTCATCCGCCTCTGCTAATATAAAAAATTCCCCAGAATATTTTATTTGCAATCTTCTTCATTTCTGTGCACCATAGAGCTTTATAGCCTTATGCCTTTTTGAATCAGTTATATAGATATATATACTGTATAGGGTTCACATTTTGTAACAATCTGAAGAGCCTTACTTTGGAAGCTTGGGTTATTGGTGCTGTGCTTGTGGTCACTGTCCTGTGTGGGAAACAACTGCCTCCCAGCAAAGGTTACATTGATGTCAGAAGCAGATGAAACCCTCACTATACTGTATAGCCAGTTCTGGAAGGTCTAATAAAATATAAAAGTGTAAGTCCAAGAATCCTCACAATGGGGTCGTGCCCTGTGGTGTAGCTATGGTTTTTCCCTTCTGTGTAAGGTCTAAGTCTTGCCACATTTGCCTCTGGTGCTACAATTTCAAGAGTACACTATATAACAACCTTCTAATGCAGCATTTGGGAAAATGTAAGTCCTTTCCACACTTGCACACTTAAGCTATTATGTTCAATGTAACTCCTATGGTCAAATTCTGCTCCTTTCAATGGAAAATTACAAAAGAGCCATTGTCAAGCTGAACTTCGAGGCAGCATCAGTCGAATTACCATAATTTGCATGATTTCTTGAGCCATCTGTTTTGCAGTAGAATGTAGAGGCTGTATGGAAAGGGTAATGGAAGCAAATGACGATTGGTAGATAAATAACAAGACAATGGCCAAATGGTGGCTTTTATACTGCGCTTGTTGCCCTGTTTTCAAAGGTGTGTATGTGTGAGTGTAGGAGGGGAGTCAGTCCCAACTGATACACATCACCAACTCTAGGTGCATGATATCAGGGTCAGCTGTATTGTGCTAATTTGCTGCAGTGCTATGGAGTTTCTCCTAATGCCAGTCTATGGTTTACAACAACACTGAAGACCAGCCCCCAAACTATTTTTAGATGGTCCATGTAGAGTTTGTCCAGAGCAGCCAGGAAGAAGCATAATCAAAATAAACTAAGGGAGGATAAGAGGAAGGCTTTGGCCGACACATCAGTCAACCTTAGCTAATCATGTATTGATCATGTCAGATTGGGGAAGAAGGGTCGCTGTGTTTTTTCACAGTAGTATAGATCAGTACGTTGAATGTTGGACGCCTGTTTGAATTCATCCAGACCATGATTAGATAACTGGGACAATGGGAGAATGAATGCAAGCTCCTTTTAGCCTAATCTGTGGAGGCCCTTGAGAACTAATTTGCAGGGTTGCAGTGACAGGTACCTGCCTGTCCATTTCCTTTTCCAGGATCTTTTTTACTTTTTCCTTAAGGTAGGTAGTGTATTCATCATCTCCTGCCATTGTCTTTTAGGGAGAAAGGCGGACTTTACATTCCCAGTGGAATACAACCATGTATCTCAGAAAAGCAGTGGATATGAAATGGTTAGGAGCAGAGACACTTGGCTTAGCTTTGTAAGTCTCACATTATCGATTGGACACAACTTTGGTACAATGAATCGCTACCCTTTATTTATCTTTCTGTCATTCGCCCTATTTACTGTCTGAGGGATTTGGCTTGAGTACATTGCTTATCCAGGTACTTCAATGAAACAAAATTAATCTTTTTCTCTGGGAACCTGACCCAGTTCTCATCACACAAGAGAACTGCAGACATTCAAGCATTCGACAGGTCAGCCTTGAGGAATAGGCTGCCATGTGTGAAACCCTTTGTGATTTTTTTTCTAGAAGCTCTTGTTTCAAGTGGGGCTCTCCATTGTTGGAGATTTATCAGTTTTTGTTGTTTTTGATA